CATTCTCTGACCCTTCCTTGTTAGTCTGGGAACCTACAGGTAAGATTGGTGGTCCCCATTGGTGGTCTCTTAGGAACTGGGTGGGCGATGCTGGTGCTGCCCACCTGAAGGTGTGGCCAAGACCTCAGCAGGCCTGGATGGTCTCAGTCCCCCCTCTTGAAATCCCACATCCTACTTCTGTAGGGGTAAAAGGGCGCTGATGTCTTCTGGCTACTTCCTGATGAAAAGGGGCGTCATTTGGGTAAATGGGCCCCCTGGGTGTGTGGGATACACAGAGACAGTCTGGGTTCTCCATAGGCTAATTTTCTCCAATTAATAGCTCAAAGCAGGCATGTAGGCTGCGGTGTAGCAAGTTCTGCTGCTCAGAAGAATCCCAGTATCTAAGGTGGCAGAGATAGAAATGTCTCAGTTCAGCACCCCCATTTCCTACACCTGGTAGTTCTGGGACTCCTGCCAGTTCAAGTATGTCCTGGTTTTGCACTTGGACACACTCTTAAGAAGAGCATGTACTGGGAGTACTGAAATGATATGTATGGCTAGGCCATGGAATCCAGGTGTGCACTGATGACCACAGAGGAAGGAGGTGGGTGTGAGTTCAGTACACTTCACTCATGCTCGACCTTCCTTGCCTTTGGGATTGTCTCTGTTAGAACAACATCCTGCTAGCTACAATGATGGTACTGAGTGACAAGATGTGGGGGAGGAACACATAGAAAGCACGTATCTGTGAGGTGCCTTCCTGAAAAGCGGCTTTAAATCCTCCAGTCCCTCCCAGGTTGGTTCTGCAGAATCTGCTTGACAGTGGGTGCTGACCCTAAGCTGTAGACTCGATATGTACCTCAGGAGAAAACGGCCTTGCACATCAGGTGCTAAGATTAAGCCTATAAGAACCTTCACCAATATAAGGTCCAGATGAGGAAAAGGAGAAAGGGACCAGCGAGGATGGGTTTGACTCTTGGTCTCTCTCTCTCTCTCAGATCCAGGAGACGTGCCTCACACAGCTTTCTCTTTCCAATGTATGAACAGAAGTGGTTGCATGTGGAGCTGTTTCTAGGCAGGATCCAGAATATGGGGGGGGGGGAACTAGGTGTCAGGCAAGGACCCCTGTGAGGCCTTCATTTTGGGGTATTGTCATCTAAGTCCCAATCAACCACAGAGAAATCCATTGGCATCATGAATGCAGAAAGGTGCATAGGCCAGCCCCTAATTCCTCCTGCTCTGGCTTGACACTAGGATGCTGGACTCTTTGCCAATGTCTATGCCAGCAATTATGGACATATGACTGTGTAAGAACTATACTGTAGTAGTGATATAGGGGTGAGCAAGGAGGGAATTGGGAAGGGAATAGGGGAAACCCAGGGCCTAATGAAACTGCAGCATAAAATGATAATGATAAAAAGAAGTGAAATTAAAAAAAAAAAAGGAAATGATGATCTGACCCTCCAACTATTCCTTTCACACCCCACCCACCAAGCCTCATGGTTCATCAAGGAATCACCAGGAAAAGACAAGGGGTTGGTGGGGCACACACACACACACACCACACACACACCACCCTTCCACGCATTAGTTATTTCCCAAATGCCTGCAAAAGCCTAGGCTGTGTTGGCCAAGCTCTGGAGCCCAGAACTTAATGTAAGCCTCCCATGTGGGCTAGCAGGGACCCAAGTAGCTGAGCCATCACTGCTGCCTCCCCAGGTATACATATCCAGGAAGCTGGACTTGGAAACAGAGCCAAGTTCAAATACAGGCACTCTGACATTCAGTATGGGAAGCTCAAGTGGTGCCTAGTTCCGTTGATTTCATGTTCAGTTTAAAACTCAATCAATTTTTTCCATAGAATGTATCTGGAATTGACTTTGCTTTTCTATCTAATCACATAAAGCCATCATATTTTAGGGAACATGGAAGCTATTTCCATGTAAATTTCAAAATGTCTTTCATGTGGACACATGTGCCCAGTTAGCCTAGTTTTTGATATTACTCCTAGTTAATATGTGATCAAAGTGTAGGTAAAGAACGAACAGTAAGAGAATGTAGAGAGAGGGTTAAGACTTCCAATCAAGACCCTAGCAGAGGCCAGCACGGTGCTGCAGCTCTCACTGTGGCACTGGCATCCATCCCGGACTGTTGGAGTGTCCCTGTGAGCGTCCACTTCTCGGCTTCTGATCCAGCTCCCGGCTGTGTGTGTTTGGGAAAGCAGACGATGGTCCAAGTATTTGGCCCTCAGCCACCTGTATGGGAGACCTGGATCCTCTTTCTGGTCTGGCCTAGGCCTAACTGTTGCTGTCTTTTGGAAAATGGATGAGGACATAGAAGATTAGCTTAGAAACTTTTGGCCTCTGGCACACTTGACCTGATCACAAAACCATCATAGCTTTACTCTGGCACATTGTCAGGGCAGCCCTGTGGACATCATACCATCTCACCAGTGTGATTTTGCTACACGTGCATTCTTTAAAAAAAAAAAACACACAAAAAAACGATTTATTTATTTTCTTTTTTTTGTTTGGTTTGTTGCTTACATTGTATTATGTACTACAGTTTTATAGGCACTGGGGATTCCCCCCACCCCTCCCATACCCCTCCCCCCATGGTGGATTCCTCCACCTTGTTGCATAACCATAGTTCAAGTTCAGTTGAGATTCATTCCTTGCAAACACTTGCCTAGCATAAAGTTCAGCATCTTATTGTCCAGATAAGTTCAGTGGCCTCTTGAGGATACCTTCTATGGTCTGAAGATAGGTCTAACAGAGTAAAGTTCCGGTCAGTTAAAAGCCCCAACAAGGCCTCAGTATCAATATACAACATTATGGAATTAATTGACATAGTATTGGGTAAACAATATGTTAAAAATAATGCAAGTTCCCTTCTTCGAAACATCTGGGTTGAGACAGTATCAATGACAGGTTCAAAAAATAACAAACAACCAAACAAAAAATTACAGGTTAAATCAAGGCAAACATGTGGTATCTAATCTTTTGGGATTCGCTCATTTCCCTTAGCATTATAGTTTCCAGTTGTGCCCATTTAGCCACAAAGAACTGCATTTTGTTTTTTTTAATAGCTGAGTAGTATTCCATGGAGTAGATGAACCAAAGCTTTCTTATCCAATCTTCTGCTGATGGGCATTTCGGTTGCTTCCATGTTTTTGCAATTACTGATTGTGCTGCAATGAACATAGGGATGCATGTTGGTTTGTCGTAAAACAGGTGTTTTGGATATATTCCTAGGAGTGCTATTGCTGGGTCATATGGTATGCAGATTTTGAGTTGTTTGAGTGTTCTCCAGACTGATTTCCATAAAGGCTGTACCAATTTCATTGGAGCCATACTCAAGCTCCAGGCACAAGCAGGGAGCTTGATGGGAAGTGGTGCTGCTAGCATTAGAACTGGCGCCCATGTGGGATCCCAGCTCATTCAAGACAAGAATTTTAGCTGCTAGGACACCGCGCCAGGCACTATACATACAATCTTAACACAGCTGTAAATGTACAGGGGCCTTCATCCCACCAACAGGCATTTACTGCACAGCTGGCATTCCTCTAAACACCACAGGTGTGAACAGAACTGTCAAATCCAGAGCTCCGACATCAGGTGGAAAGACAGACCAGTCAGTGGACAGAACATGATCTCCCTCTCTATTTTCAAACAAATGAAATGAAGAAATAAAAACATCTTTGTTATTTATTTATACTCATGATTTGCAGCTTCAAGAGCTTTTTGTGAAGCCGTTATATGAATATAGGTATAAAGTGAGACTAGAGCACCGATTCCACATGCCGCCTCAAAGGGAGGGGTGTGATGTCAGTCCCCATCAGTCAGCTGATCTGGAATCTGAAGCAGCGTGTTAAGGAGCAGAACATGAGTTGAAAGGAATGTCAGAGGACACAGCGCCGTGTAAGGACCGTGTCCTATGTAGAGGAGGCAGCTAACAGGGCTACTGTTTATGACCTACATACCGGAGGGATTCCTGTCACAGGGTCAAGTTCAAAATGGCTACTTGAATGTGAGCACCAGTTTTTGGTCAAGGGACCCAGGGTCTCTGGCCAAGAGGGTTCTAGAGATGCTGTGTGTAGCACACAGGGAATGCCACAGCTGCCCATGGAGGCAGTGATGATCCCTGTGTGGGTGGCAGGACAGGTGTGTTCAAAGCAAAGGGGAGTGAGCCAAGGTGAGGCGACTCTCATGTTTTCTGCAAAGTCTTTCTTCTGTCAGGATCCTGTTCAGAGCTGGACCACACAACTGGGGGATGGAGGTGGGCTGTCTGCCCCTCATCCTTTTCTGTGGGAACAAAGGCAAGTGGCACTAGTCGTGTGCATTGCAATCTTGTCATTGCTGCACATCACCACCTTCCTGTACACTCATTTCTCCCACTCCTCATCCTCCCTTGAACATCTCCTGGGGTCTTCCCACACCCCCAAAAAGCAGCAGCTGTGCCAAGTCAGAGTGTCATTTCCTGTCTGGTTAATCACTATTCCTATCACCTTGACTTTTTCTCTCTGTACATGGCTGTGTGTCTTCCCGTAAGTTTATCAGGCATTTGGAACCTTTTCTTGGGCATGCAGAAAAAGGTGAGTGTAGCAATCTCAGGCCACAGGCTGTGGGTTCCACCCCATCTCTGGATTTCTGTGCTAAGATGGATGGAAGCTTCTGGAAGCCACAACCTGTTCAGCTCACCGTCATATCCAGGACACAGAGGCAGCACTGCCTGCATCCACTCTTCCCCCAGGGCCCACAAAATGCCAGGGAGTAGTGGTCAGTATTCCTCTGTCATGGTCTCCACCCTCACATGTGCTTGTTCATTCCAGTGAGATGTATACTAATGTTTCCAGACTTTGACCCCGGGGTACAATAGAGTCATGGCCTTTCTTGTTTGAGTGTCTCAGGGCATAGAACCAAACCTGTCTACAGGTTTCAGAAGAAAACCCGAATCCCAGGTTCTTGTGCATTTTTGCCTCTATGCATTTTTGACAATAAACAACAGACAACAAAATAGATCATCTATATATTTGATGAGATTCAATTTATTAAAATATTGGGTTTTCCAGTATATATTGGGTTTTCACCATATCTGGTTCTGGGGACCTGAGAGGGAAAGAGAGAAATCAAATGAGAATCTTGGTCAGGTCCTGCTGACAGCTGAGTCTGAAGGGCCTGCTGGTAGTGGCAGAGGCTAGGGCCAATATGAGCTCCTTCAGACTGCCATCTGAGTTACTAACAAGAAACAGATGCTACTGAAGAATTCTAAGTCAGGCATCCTGCAAATGCTCTCACTGAAGAGTCCATCCATGATATGGATAGATCTTTGTATGATGTATCATATTTTATGGGATGCAGGTATATTTTTCCAGGAGCCTCAAATGAGAAATGGACAACTAAGATGGAAATAACGTGTTCAATGACAAATGTTTGAAAGGAAACCCAAGGTCTAGGGGCAGATCTGGTCCCTCATCCCAAGTTCTCATCCATGTCCCCACATAAGAGCGATGGGACATTCAATGTGACCCTGGGAGGACATGAGGGAGAAAGTCTTGGTCATTCACAACACCACAGCAATCAATACACACATCACTCGTTCCAGTACACCAGACCTTTCCTACCTTCATAAACGATCGATAGCACTTTACATAAAATTCTGGTGGATGATAAGAGCCACCCTCTGCTACCACATGTCTGAGTGGGTGGCTTCTCAATAGAATCACTCTGAGGGTGGACGCTGCCACATGATGGCGTATTGTGAAGGGAACACTTCGAAAGCTGGTAGGAAGTTACACTTCCTATGAAGCTAGGGCAACGGTTTTTCACGACAAAACCTGAAAAGAGGAAAACATCCCTAAGAAGGCTCACAAGTGCCAAGGCCATGAGCAGGGTCTAAGGGGCACCCAGGCAAGCAGTGGTACTCTAGGGAGCTACCGTGGCAAACCTACACTATCCTCAATACACAAAGATGCTTCTACAAGCTCTACCTGGAGAAACAGGAGAATTCATAAAGGAGAGGCATGGGTACCGTGGGCCAATGGCTATTGGAATCTGCCTGAAACATCCAGAGCAGGTAAGTGAACTACCCAGCAAATACTCACTTCCAAGAAGCGCATCAGAAAAGAAGTATTGATGTTTATTAAAGATCATGGGCCGTGCACATGGGCGATCAATATCCTGGTAACAAGCTTCACGAAGTGCGCACCACTTAGGCCCCTTCACAGAGATATCACAGGAGGACATAGTGGATTTATTCAAGGCAGTCTTCTGGGATGCTCTGTGGAGGGACAAAGGGAAGGGACGTTACTAAGGACAGATGCAAGGTTTCCCTAGCGTTAACAGCACATTGGAGAACAACAAAACAAAACAAAACAAAAATGGCACACCAGAGAAGAGCCCCTTGATCTCACCACCACAGTGCCCCGGGGTCCAGACCAGGCCCTGTCAGGTTGAACTAGAGGAAACAAGGTTGGCGGCTGAGACAGGACTCAGCCTCTTGTTGTGGAGACAACACAGAATCTGTGAGGTCAGAAATGCTACAGGAGGGGGCATGCATCCTGGGCCACCAAGGGCAGTGGTCCAAGGAGGAGGGCTGAGACACGGAGGGCCCTATGCCAGGCTAGAGAGTAGGGGATTCTCAGAGATGTGGGTGTCCTGGGATAGGCTGGAATAGGGACCTCCTGGGCCCATGGTGGATGACAATACCCACATCACACCCTAACCCAATACACCAATGTCAACATGCACACCCCTGCCTTTGGTGAGCCCTAACTATACAGAAGTGTACATCTAGATGGCAGCCACAGACACGCTTGCATACTTACCCATTTTGGACATCACTACAATCTCCAGATACTTCCCCCTCCTCCACAACCGCCTCCTCATCAAGCAGTGCTTCGCTCGAGGTGTCACCTTCCTGCTTTGCCTCCTTATCTGCCTTAGGGCTGCAGGGCTCAGCTGCTGCAAGAAGCACACATGGGGCAAGGTCAGGACAAGAAGAAAAATGGAAGCAAAGCTCTCACCATTTGTTCTGCACCCTCTGGCCTAGACCTGGCCTGGTATGTGACTGTGAAGTAACACCTGCCAGGGGAGAGCCTTCTTCCATGGCCAGCCTCATGCCTCTGCCAACCATCAGAGGGCCCCATATTGGACCTTGCACAACCTACCTCTCAAGCAGAATCTCATGTCAAAGAGGCCTGACACTCAGGGAGAAACTAGGACCCAGGAGGCTAGATGTCTGACCCAACAGGGTTGCCCTCGATTGACCAGCTGGTTGAAGGGGCTCACGGACTTGGGAACCAGGCCTTGGTGAGGCAAAAACCATGCACCATGGAAGACTTGCCTGCAATGGTTGACCTGCAGAGGACAGGTCAGCCTTGGCTGGAGATAGTCATACCCACAACTGGGCGAGCCTTCCAACATGACTAGTCTCATGAACTCTGTTAGCCTTCAGATTCCAAAGTCACCACACTGGGTTTACACTCGAAGGCTGGATAGCGGCCTGGGGTTGGTGACAATCAAGGAAAAATAAACCAGGCATCTGAGGCAAAAGCTGCTCTAAACATCGCAACGGGGGATAGAGGTTCAGGCACCAGGCCTTGGAATGCAGAGAAAGCCCTTTGAGGCCAGCCAAGTTTGTAGCTAAGCATTGAAACTCGGTGAATGACACGACACCAGGGAGACAGGGCTGCCAGGAAGGGTGAGCAAAACCACAAGATACCTAGATTGTCTCACAGAGTTGGGCTTTAACCACGCACATGAGCAGTAACAGCCAAAATAGGGTGACTGCACCAGGAAACTGGACAACAAAGGCCATTAGAAAAAGAAAAACAACAAAGGAAATCATGACGAAACAGAATTTTGCACCAGGGAAGAAATTCAGAGAGGTTAAGGTGGAAGGGGAGTAATGCACACAGTAAAACCATAGGGTGGTGAGAAAAGCAGAAAATAGACCTCCTGTGCAAATATTCCAAAACAATTTGCAAAACAGTGCATTTCAAACAGGAAAAAAAAAAAACCAAGAAACTGGGGGGATGAAAAAAAATGGCTGAATATATTTATACACTCCCCAAAAAGACTCATCGAAACAGAAATACTAAAATATGGTAGGAAAGGGTGGGAACACAAAGAACAGACACAGAGAAGAAGAAAAGAAAAAAACGAGTGAAACATAAAGAAAAAAATAAAAGAAGGTAAAATGACTCACCTTCGAAGGCCTCGGCCCGGAGGAAAGGCGCCTCCACACGGCTCTTCGGGCTGATAACAATGCCCAGGCTGGCAGCCCACTCTTGCAAAGCCCAGTGGGCCAGGGCCTCGGGTCTCCTATTGGTAAATCTGGTCACGTCCAGGTAGTGTGGGGCCGAGCCCGGCCTGAGGAAAGAGGCCAGGGGGAAGAGAGCTGAGCGCTGCTGGATCCAGGGGCATGGCTTGGGACCCGGCTGCCCCAGGAACCACCACCGCCAGCGCTCGGCCACCCTCTTGGGCCCAAGCGGCTGGCCTCCCAAGGAAAAGCACTGTGACAGTGGCAACCCATGCCAGCGGGGACCCGAGCGAGCCAGCACCGTGGCACCACTGCACCTATGGGTGCAAGCTGACACAAGGGGCCTGGGACACCCTGCTGGCCGTGGTCCAGGTGGGGGTGGTGTTTGTGTTGCGTGGGCACGGCCAAGAGGTAGGCTCTGAAGCACAGCATCCCACGTCACCCCCGAGCCCCAAGGCCCTGGCTCCCTCACGCTTGGGCACGCACCAGGTCGAGCCAGAAGCAAGCCCAAGGAGCCTGGGCAACGCCAACAGTCCCACTTGAGCTGGCCGGGGACATGCCCATGCGCCCGACTCCGGCAGGACCCAGGAACACACACGCTAGGGCTCCCTGCGGCCACCTGGCCCTCTGCTCCGTGTGCGTGCCGCATGCCGGCCACACCAGCTACTCACTCGCGCAATGACATCATTCACCCACACTTTCCTGGGGCACTCACACACAGACTGTTACGGGCTTCAGTGCCTACTACTCGCACGCAACACGTGGAGATGGGACGGCACGGATACCCCACAAGGGGTCCTGATCCTCCGGTCCCTTGCGACACAGGGAAGGCCCCAGGGGGCTTCACCACTGCAGCTGACGGCCAGGGACGCGGCTCTCAGGGAGGCACACTGCCAAGAGCGCTCTGCAGACCAGCAGTGCCCCACCAGAGCGGTGGTGCCGTGCAGGGCTAGAAAGGGGCCTTCCTGGCACAAGGCCGGCCTTCCACAGCTCACCCCACGGCCCCTCCCCCGGCAACACAGACACACCCCACATTCCACTCAGGCCTGGCAGCCATGTCCAACAGCCACTGTCACACGCACACACTTACCCCGAGTCCACGTCGGTCCTGCCAGTGGGAATGGCCAGTGCTTTGTCATTATCTGGGGTGGGTGGTCCTACAAAGGGGGCGGTGGCGTCCACTGCAACGGAGGGGCAGGGGAACTCCCGTGAGACCAAAGCACGCGAGGGTCCCCAGCGTGCCAGCTCCGCAGCCAGGGGAGGGCCGTGGCCTCAGCTCACGCCACCGCCTGGCTGGGCAGCCGCCCTGCATGCCGCAGGACCTGGCACGCGTGGCCTCTGCCAGCCCTCTGTGCTCTTCTTCCCTCCCTCCTACCCTCACTGCCTCCCCCCCTCCACCCATCTCTCCCTCTCTGCATGGGCAAGCCCACTCTGCCAGCAGCCCTCTGCCCTCGGGGAGCACACGTGTGCACTGCCCCTGGGGCCTGACACACACTGACAGCTCAGGGTTTCTAACCTATGGCAGGACCCTTCCACCACCACCACACAGCCAGGACTTCAGGCAGGCGCTGGCCACACTTGTCAAGGTTGCAACCCAGCCCCGTAGCGCCCATGCAAACACTACTGCGTCCAGCCATCCTACGGGCTGCGCATTCTACCCTGGACCTCAGGGGGAAAGGGGCTGTGCGAGAGGGAGGGAAGCGTGGGCACGACTCCCAGCCTGCAGAAGCAACAGCAGCAGCAGCAGCACCAAGAGGCTCTGCCTGGGCTCACGGCAACCTCACGTTGTGTCCCGGGGCTCTGGCAGCAGCACCAGGAGACAAACGCCAACTACACTGACGGCCAGCTCACCCTGTGGGAGTTGCATCCCGCGACTCACCCTCGACGGCCTCTAACTGGAGGCTCTTCGGGCTGACAATAATGCCCAGGCTGGCAGCCCACTCTTGCAAAGCCCAGTGGGCCAGGGCCTCGGGTCTCCTATTGGTAAATCTGGTCACGTCCAGGTAGTGTGGGGCCGAGCCCAGCCTGAGGAAAGAGGCCAAGGGGAAGAGAGCTGAGCGCTGCTGGATCCAGGGGCATGGCTTGGGACCCGGCTGCCCCAGGAACCACCACCGCCAGCGCTCGGCCACCCTCTTGGGCCCAAGCGGCCGGCCTCCCAAGGAAAAGCACTGTGACAGTGGCAACCCATGCCAGCGGGGACCCGAGCGAGCCAGCACCCGTGGCACCACTGCACCTATGGGTGCAAGCTGACACAAGGGGCCTGGGACGCCCTGCTGGCCGTGGTCCAGGTGGGGGTGGTGTTTGTGTTGCGTGGGCACGGCCAAGAGGTGGGCTCTGAAGCACAGCATCCCACGTCACCCCCGAGCCCCAAGGCCCTGGCTCCCTCACGCTTGGGCACGCACCAGGTCGAGCCAGAAGCAAGCCCAAGGAGCCTGGGCAACGCCAACAGTCCCACTTGAGCTGGCCGGGGACATGCCCATGCGCCCGACTCCGGCAGGACCCAGGAACACACACGCTAGGGCTCCCTGCGGCCACCTGGCCCTCTGCTCCGTGTGCGTGCCGCATGCCGGCCACACCAGCTACTCACTCGCGCAATGACATCATTCACCCACACTTTCCTGGGGCACTCACACACACTATTACGGGCTTCAGTGCCTACTACTCGCACGCAACATGTGGAGATGGGACGGCACGGATACCCCACAAGGGGTCCTGATCCTCCGGTCCCTTGCGACACAGGGAAGGCCCCAGGGGGCTTCACCACTGCAGCTGACGGCCAGGGACGCGGCTCTCAGGGAGGCACACTGCCAAGAGCGCTCTGCAGACCAGCACTGCCCCACCAGAGCAGTGGTGCCGTGGAGGGCTAGAA